ATAAGGTTTCATTTCTTTATACCTTCTAACTGGTCAACCTTACATAATCATCACACTGGACTTTCTATACCTCTAAAAATGTTAGGCCAATTTTCTTTGAACCATCATTCTACACTTTAAAAAGGCTAAATTTCTTTGAATCATAACATTGATTTTCCATAGCTATATTATCAAAAATATACTTTATTAGGCTTTAATATATCAATGAACTTTCTTCCTCTTTCATTACTCCTAACTAAAATATCAGTAGTGAAGGAGAAACTTCAGGAGTACTGTGTAACAATATACAGCTGTACAGTATTCAAAGAGTGTAAATCTGATGTTAATATTTAAATCTATTGGAATTATCATGGGTACCAACTGCATCCCGTTATTAACAGACATATTTTCGTATTCATATGAAACAAAATTTGTTGAAAATCTTTTTTACGTGAAAAGCGGAATACATTTGCTGTGGCCTAAAACTCGAAAATTAGATATATCGACGACGTATTTTCAATGAACAATAGTTATTTCCATTCTTATGTCGACACAATATATCCCGGTGAGCTTGAAATTAAAAAAAAACATATGTACAGAGTCTGACACATTTGTTTCATATTTGGATCTTTTACTAAAAAAGACGTTAATGGTTATCTAACAACAAAGCTTCATAATAAACATGATGACTTTAACTTTTCAATCGTCAGCTTCCATAACTTATGCAGCAATATACCTTTGTCACCTGCATACGTAGTTTATATCTCTCAGTTGATCATGTTCTTCGTATGAACAATTTCTAAAACAAGACAGATTATTGACAAAAAGTGGATAAAGCAAGAAAATCAGCAGCCATCATTTCGTAAGTTCTATGGTTGATACAACATGATGACATTGTCAGCAAAACAATTTATTATAAAGTCAAAGGCTGACTGACACTTTTCATACTGATTGTTAGGTCATTAATTATACACATAGTTGTCCATTGATTTTTTTCGAACTTGGCAAGGATCCAAGGTGGGTGCAACCTGTCGGCAGGGAATGCAAACTCATTCCTCCATGGCACCTGATCCAACCCCTGCTGTTTTTGAGATCCGTGTTTGCCCATTCCTCTTTTGTATTGTATCATGGACTTTTGAGCACGAGCACTGTTCATTATCTCAACCTATTTCAATCTATATATGGATTGCTAACAATCTTCAAGTGATGTAACAATAAATAATTGATAAATAAAAATGAATTAAAAAATATTAAAAATTTATTAAAATATATTGTAACATTTGTCAATCGAATTTAAGGAAAAAATTCAAAAATCTTAAATCAAAGGAAAATACTTGTATAAAAATAATCTTCCAATTATCTTCCATATCACTGAGCATGCGCTCGAGTATTGTCGTAGTGTTAGATAGTGATGATATGTCTAATCAATATTTCTCTCTAAGAAATGTATAATTAAGATTTTCATTTCTCGACGAAAACTCATAATCTCCTTCTACACATCATCATTAAATGTAGTTAATAAAAAAATGTGAATTAAAAATAGTGATCTTTATTTATGCAATCTACGGCGCATCTGATCATATCTTTCACGTTTCTCTTGATCAGTTTTTCTTCTCAATATCTCAATTCACTGAAACTTTTTAAATCCTTACCTTGATTCCATATATTCTGTATGCAGTGGAATGACAGGCTCATTGGAATAAGCATTATTGACATCATCTTTTTTCCTGCATTCCTTGAAAGCTTTTAGAAAGCTTGTGGACAATTTACAGAACTAGTTTAAATATTTTTAAGATCTTCTTTGCAACAAATTCAAATCAACTGTTCGGTCGAACTTTCCATAAATGATTTTAATTTACAACCGAACCATTTAAACGAGATCACAAATTAAATAAAACTGAGCAAAACAATAGAACACTATTATACCTTGAATGCATATAATTTAATATGCTTTCTCCTCCACCTTTCACCTCTGTTGTTTTAGAGGCCCCTGTTTGCTCTGCTCCTGATATATATTGTTTGAGTGGCCTTTTGAGCGTGAATGCTGTTCGTTTTCTCAACATTTTATGTAATCTGAAAAAAGAAAATTGTAGTGTGCTGTATAAATACTTGTCTTCATATTCACATAGGCGTCGGAACCGGGGGGGGGGGTGCTAGCGGGGCTTAGCCCCCCACTTTTTTTGCAAAGATAGACCTAATATAGGCACTGAACATTTTCAACAGGCACGTTGCAGATTAGGACAGAAAAGGGTATGTGGTAGTGTTTGGAAAAAAAGAATTTGGTACTGAACGAAGTTCGATCCTACCCCACCACCACCACTACCACCACCACCACGAAATGGGATTTACATGTTTGGACAATGGACACATCCCCTTTATTTTTGCTTGTCAAGTTTTTTTTTTGTAGGTTTGATTTTTTTTTCTCTTTCACTTAGCTTCCCTTTCAATTTGCTTCCGACGCCAATGTATTCATGTATATGTGAAACATATGGAGATAACAAACAATATTCAAGTTCAAAAGTCCATAAAACAATACAAAATAGGAGCAGAGCAAACAAAGATCTAATAAAAACATCAGAGGTGGGATCAGATGCCATGGAGGAATGAGGACACCCGCCGTGTGGTCCTTGTCATAACTGGACAATAACGGAAAAATCCGTCGTCAATTCAGTGTATAAATAATAGACTAAAAATTAGTATGAAAAACGTCAGTTAGCATTGACTCAATGATAAATTGTATTTGCTGACTAGGTCATTGTATCGACCATAGATCTTACCAAATGATGACTTTAAACAAGAATGCCTATATTCTTGTTTAATACACTTGTTTGTCAATAATTTACCTAGTTTTGGAAATTGTTCATACATAGAGCATGTGCTTGCGTATCGAATCAACTGAGATATATAAACTCCGGATGCAGGTGATGAAGGTATATTGCTGCATAAGTAAGGGAAGTTGACGATAGAAAAGTTAGTCATCGCGTTTATCCTAGAGCTTGGTTGTTAGATTACCATTAACGTCTTCTTCAAATAAAAGATCCAAATATGAAACAGATGTGTCAGACTCTGTGGTATCTTTTATCTCAAGCTCACCAGAATATATCGTATCGACATAAGAATGGAAATTACCATTGTTAATTGACAGACGTCGTCGATATTATATAAATATTGCATGTAGTTAAGTGTAACACTCACCCCAAGAAAACTACATGTATTGTCAACCGAGGCGCAGCCAAGGTTAACAATGGTTTTCAAGGGGTGAAAATTTTCAATGTTACACTCAACTACATGCAATATTTATTATATTATACTGAGTGAATGTTTTATACAAATATATAACAGTGAACCGTGCGCGCATAAATTCTGCGCAGTCGCTATTTTTTGGAATATCACCCGTCGTCAAGCAATGTTGACTGTTGCTACGCAGGAGGGCGTGACTTCATTGTTTAGCGGGTAATAGTATTTTTTAACAAATGTTTCTCGGCGAATCAGATTCAAGTAATTTACATGAAAGTATAATACATGTATATCTAAATGTCGAGTTGAAGACCACAGCAAGTGTTTTCTTTTTTTCACGCTCTAGATTTTGCACAAATTCTGCTTCATATGAAAACAAAAATAGGTCTGCTAATAACGGGGCGTAACTGGTACCCATAAAATTTCCAATACTCAGTAGATTGTTGGAAGACCTGGTCTCCAAAACAACATAGATATTGTCAATCTGAATCTCAAGCATCTCTTTGATGTTAACTTCAGAGTTTTGTGTGTTTAATCAGAATGTTTTTTTTTACCAGAATAAGTTTGCAAATGACCATTGACAAGGAAAGTAAATTTATGACTTCCATTTTTATTGAAAAAGCAGCTGTCAATTTTTTTTTAAAAAGGCCGGACTTTAATTTCTCGTGGGGAATGGTTGTGGATAAAGTTGAAAACTTTTTAAGCTGTTGATTTTGGTAAAAGTTCCTTGGAATTTTTAAGTATCCACATCTGATTTACACCACTACTTGAATATATTGTTGCACCGTACTCTTGAAGCTTCTCCTTCACTGTTAATATCTTAGTGAGGAGTAAAGAAAGAGGTTTGGCTGAACATTTACTCGAACCCACTATGTATCTCTGTTTGTAAGGATTCTTATGAAGTTTCGGAATCTAACACATATATTTATGGTAATTCAAATTCATTTTGGTTCTTTTGGATGTTTTAAAAACATTCAAAACTATGTTCACCTATACACCGAATGCGAAGTTTAGTTTCAGGAGTGAATAAAAACAATAGAATGTAAAAACAGTGTTTTCATGCTTGTACTAAAAGAAGTGACACCAACATACATAAATATTTAAACATACTACTGGTCAATGAACTTTGTTGCCATTAAATAAACTCTGTATTGCATGTTGTCGACAGTGTGATGTTGGTTTGAAATCTCAGTGGAACCCAGTTCTACACTCCTGTCATTAGAACACCATCAGTTATGAAATAACCAATACTTTGGCCTTCAGAAAATGCTGACATTCCAATGGTCACGCGGGTGTTCTTCACTTGACACCATATAAATAAATGATAGGAATAAGATGAAGATGATGTTGTCATCAATTTTCGCCCAGGAAACAAACCAATTAAAATTGTTTTAATCTTATAAAGGCATATACTAATACCTCTAAACTTTATTTACATACAATGTATTGTTTACATTTAACTAAAATGTAGTTTGAATTCTTAAAATAAAATATTAAAATAATGAATTGTAATCATGCTTAAAAGTCCATTGAACGAAGACAAATTAGGTGGAGAGCAAAAACGGAGCTCTAAACATATCAGATTTAGGATTAGATCCATTGAGGACTAGTCAGGCCAGCCGTGTACATGTGCTCCCTGTGCATGTACATGTTCCAGCAAACGGTAATTCTGTAGACAATTCAAATAAATAATGAAAATAATGGTCTTGCAATTGGTTTGAAATACAGCAATCAACTTTGACATAATGATAGATTATACTTGCTGAGAAAGTGATTGTATCGAAATGGCAGCAAAGAAAGCAGTAATTATTCTTTATCAAGTACAAACACTGTACTTAATAAGTCAAATATAATTAAATGCCATCATTCTTCATTTAAAAAACAGCAAATACAAGTATGGTTTTCCTTCAACGCAAACATTTGTAAGAATTTGAAAATGGAACAAGAACGATCAAGTTGTGTACTGCTACACAGTATAAGAAATAAAGAAAGGCTCGTAGGAGATTAACCTCCCTTGTACATGGAAATCTCCAGCTTTTTTACAGTAAGACCTTCTTACTAATTGGTACATGTACATGCTACATTGACAAGACATCTGATTAGAAGGATTCGTTTAAATCAAGAGAAAAATTAATGAAGGAATATTGTTTCATGGATGAGAGGTTCGATAAATGACACATTGCACGATGCCTGCGCGAGCCATTTTGATCAATCTTAACTATACAGCCTTTCATTTCGTTCATATTACCTGTATTCCGCCTTAGACCAAGATTAAATACTTTAAGGAATTATAACTGTAACCAGATGCGAACTGAAGACTGCTTTTTCTTGCACTTCATTATACTCCCGCTTGAGAAGTGGGAGGGTATATAGTGATTGGAGTTTAGAATTTCTTGCAGCAATAATCCTTATATGTCTGAAATGCCTGATGGCAATGCTCTTTAGAAATGTTATAACTTTTCCATAGTCCATTCCGTCTGTCTGTACGTCCATCCGTCCGTCCGTCCGTTTGTTACGCTTTGGGGTACCCATTTCTTATCCGCAACTCCTCTTATACCGCTGAATGAAATTTAACTTTCACATATTCTTTGTCACATTAGTGCCATTGTGCACCTCCTATTTTACTTTTTGATCGGAGACCTATTTCAGGTTTCCCATAGCAAAACATTGACACTGACCATTTTTTCTATAATACTCAGTATTGAATGGTACCCATCTCTCATCCGCAATTCCTCCTATACAAGAGAATAAAATTTAATGAAACTTTCACAGATTCTTTCTAACATAATGCCATTGTTACCTTCTATTTTACTTTTTGATCTGACACTTATTTGGGGTCTCCTAGAGCAAAACAAGATAATCATATGGAAGGCAGTGGTATCATTTCATGAGCTCACTGCTCACAGTACCTCTGGTTTGAAATGTTATCCTGTGGGTTTTATTTTTTAAAATAATAAAATGCTTTCTTTGGTAAATTGTTAGTACGGGAATTTTGGATTCCGAAACTTCATATAATCCTTACAAAGATACTTAGCAAGTTCCAGTAAATTTCCATTCTTATGTCGATACGATATATATCCAGGTGAATTTGAGATAAAAGATACCACAGAGAAAAAAAAAAAAAAAACAAAACAAAACAAAACAAATAACAAACATAATACTGTTATCTAAGACAAAAATAAAAATACTAACAAAGAAAAGTACAAACATCAAACGAGGACAAAAACAAACCTAACAAACAAGGAAATAAAAATCTCCAACAAAAAAGAGTGTATTCTAACCTTTAATTAAAAAATATACTGTTCAATTTGTGCTTCAGATAAAACAAACGCAAAGTTAGATTTGATGAATATTACTTATGTTCCTCTGTTATTATGCAAGACCGAAGCCAAGTCAACTGAGCTAGTTTTTTGATGGATTAAAATTAAAATAACAACAGTAGTGAAAGTGAAAAAATGTCATTTATTGAAGTAAATCACGCAAAACGAAATATAAACATATTATAACATGTATAAGGGGGTCAGACAAGACTAGAAAAAACTTTGAAAGAATACAAAAATCTTTGGTAACATATTATGCAATCTGACCCCCTAAAATTACATATATCATAAAGGAGGCACTGATATGCCTTTCATCAAAAAAGGGTGGGTTAAAAGAAAATAAACGCCAAACAAATAAATATGAACACTAATACAAGTACATATATAACAAATATAATATAAGACGGTGGAAGAAAGGGGGATGGATGGAGGGTTTTTCGATAAAAAAAATTTCCTTGTAAATTTGTGTGGCTTTCTCCTTTGGTAAAAAAATAAAACAATGGTCACGTGATTAGGAGAAGCCACGCTGATTGGCTGTAAATTAAGACAATGGTGTCTAGGATTAAAATAAGGTAATTGATCCTAAACCCCATCCCCAATAACTCAAGCTTTAATTTCATATACATAAAATTAATTAAAATCTTTTGCTTACTAAAAAAATGAAGTCAGTAAATGAAAAGATGTATATAATTATATGAAAAAGTAAACTGCTAATATCAATTTTGATTCAAACATACGAATATTTTCTATACATAATTCGATAGGGAGTAGGCATTGCCCGGCTTAAATTTATAAAATAATTATCAGATAAGAATTTTAAAACTAATTTTTTTTCAACTTTCAAAATTTGGCAATTTTAAATTTTTTATTGAAATTTGTCCAGACAAGAATTATCAAGACACCAATACACCACCGCGTTAGTCGGTAAATTAAACGAAAGACAAAAAATTAGAGTCACTGAAGTTTTAATTAAACACACGTGTTCTTTATTGTGTAATGAAATGAAATGAAAGCTGAAAAATATCAAAGATTTTTATTTAAAAAATTGCTAATTTAAATATTTGTCATCGATTCATCTTATCATATGTCATTCTTTGTCCTGATGGAGCGTGAGAAAACCAGAGATGCGTTACTTATACACATATCCACCTAAGAAAGGATTTCAAGTAATCCCTTTATCAAACAGCGATTGCAAATATGGTATCGTATAAAGGAACATCAAAGGCTTGTTATGACAAAATATGCAAGGAAGCAGCAATGAGACATAAAAATCTAAAGATGTTTGAAAGCGATTAGAAATAGACAATCATTCATCAGAAACCTTTGACAGTCGTGCGCCTTTCTTGTCAATACTTCGTAAAATTGTAGACTTATTGACTGAAGGTCAGGTACATGTATTGGACAAATCTGACTTTGCTCCAAGAGATTTTTATTGAGAAGAAAGAAAACACTGTCTTTCTTTCGAAAAACTTTATTTACATGCTTTCATAAAACATATTCGACTTTAGAAATAAATGTAAGTTTGATAAGAATTAACTGAGACTTTATTCTTCCCTTCGGCTTGTTGATATAATTGCTAAAATTCTTTCCAATTTCTTTAAAAAAGTTTATAGTTAAATAAAAATGAAAATTGATTTGTAATAAAATAGAAAAAGATAAGATAACAAACAGTTTTCAACCTCAAAAGTATATCCAAACAGTACAAATCAGCAGTAGAGCAAACACGGACCTTTAAAACATCAGAGGAGGCATAAGGTGCCATGGAGTACTAAGCATCTCTGCCAAATAATCACACTCACCGTGTACTTTTTGTCACGATCGGGAAATAACAGGAACATCCGTACATAATTCAGTGTGTAAATAATGACCAAATAATTGGTGTAAAAAGTTTTGATAATTTCTCTTTAAAAAGGGGAAACATTTACGTGACTTAAATTTAATGTAGGCTGCGAAATTTTGCTATACAAACAAGAAAAGATAATCAAATTATCATAAAATTTTGCTCAATATTTTTTTTCTAGCATTTAATTGAAGACTTACTGAACACTTTATATGAAAATAATCAATATGCTCGTTTTTTACAAAAAAGTAATGGTTTATCATAGCTGTGATGGTACAATTTCTTCCTTTATAAAGAGATCAACAATACATTTCTTTCATTAGGTTATCAAATTATTTCTTGCGTGCATTGATTTGTAAATAAAAAGTTTGAATACAACAAACCAAATTTCTGTTAAAATAATTTTACCATTAGGATAAACAGTTTAGTACAAGAAGGTAAAAAAAATCAAATCCTAATCCTATTCTATTCAATTTAATTCAAATACTCGTGTACATAAATGAAATACAAGAATAAATAACGTTCAATAATCTAGTTTTATGATTTGATGAGTTTAGATTCAAGGGCAAATCAAATTGTTCATGTGTGGAATTGTCCGTTGTGCTCGTGTGCTGGAGATGGATAAACCCAGAGAGATATTTTATCATATAAAACCTCAATCAATAGCAGGCTTACTTAAAGGAGGTGAGCATTGTTCTGCCAATCTTCAAGGAGAGATGGCTGTCACCAGCGAAACATTCAGAGTTTTATCTGGACTCTAATTATCATGTAATAAGCTTCGATTTGTCGCGGATCCTGCCAGTGGAGCTCCGGGAAGCCATCATGGTTGGAGGCAACGCTTCCTTAACCAACGAAACCGATGCTTCAGGTTTTATGCAGTGTGTTGAAGATTATCTCCTGACTTTTCTTATGATTTTAACAATAATAGTAATAATTTTGGGAAACATATTTGTCGTTTTAGCAATTTTGACGTACAAACCGCTACGAAATGTCCAAAACGTTTTCTTAATTTCTTTAGCGGTGGCTGATTTGATGGTTGCAATACTTGTAATGCCGCTTCATATCTCGAACAAACTCCGTGGTAGCTGGAAATTTGGAGGACCGATGTGTAACTTTTGGGTGACTTGTGATGTGCTGCTGTGCACTGCATCAATATTAAACCTATGTGTCATTGCTCTGGACAGATACTTTGCCATACACGATCCTCTCAGTTATGCACAAAAACGCACCATGACACGTGTTCTTCTCATGATTGTGGCAGCTTGGGTGGTCAGTGCAGTAATAAGTGTACCACCTCTGTTTGGATGGATTGACAATCCAAATAACAGCTTATACAAAGAAAATACTCAACAATGTAGTTTAACAGGAGAAAAAGGTTATATCATATATTCCTCATTTGGATCGTTCTTTATACCTCTCATTATCATGACTTTTGTTTATATCAAAATTTTTTTTGCGACCAGAGAGAGGCTCCGAAAAAGAGCAAAAGCTTCAGCCGCCTCTAAAATGGCTCTCTTGAAGAACAGATCACCTCCATCACCAAATTTAACAGCGGAACAGATCTCTGAAGACAGTAACGAAAACAATGAACAGCATAATCGTGAATTCAGCTATAATACCACACCAAATCATTCAAACCATCTTCTCAATGAAAGAATCGTCGAACATGCCAACACTATGGAGAACTTCTTCAACCAGAGACAAAAGATTTCGTTATCGAAGGAACGGAAGGCTGCCCGTACTCTGGGGATAATTGTAGGTGTGTTTGTTCTTTGCTGGCTCCCGTTTTTCATTATGTACGTGACTGTTCCATTCTGCACCTCGTGCAACTTACCTCCTGGTGTAGAGATGGGAATAACATTTCTAGGATATGTCAATTCAGCCCTTAACCCAATCATATATACAGTTTTTAGTGTTGATTTTAGAAAGGCCTTCCATTTCCTTGTTCAGAAGTATCTAAAATTTAGAAGACCCGAAAGGCATAATAATCTGCACCTAAAATCGGTAAATATTAGGAAATAACTAAGTATTAGTTTAAACCAAATTTTAACTTTATATATCAATTCTTTAATGTACAAATAAGCATTAAATAAAAATATGAACAAACGATCACTAACTAAATATACACATAATAAAATCTGCAGCTATATCGGTAAATATTAGGAAAAAACTAAGTATTAAAACGATTTTTAAGTTCAGATATCAATTCTTAAATGTACAAATACTAGTACATGTAAGCATTTAAACAATATGAACAAACAATCACTAACTACATGTAAATCTACATAAATAAAATTAACCTCAACAATGTCTTTTCAGCATTGAAAAGCGTGTATCTCTAAAAGAATTAAATGAAAAATAAATACATGTAAGTAAATTCAAAAGCTTTGCTACTTTAGATGCATATATTTTGGGTAAAAATTTTATTTCCTTTTTATTTTGATTCCTTTTTAGGATACGCAGTATACGATAGGTTATGATCATCATTGTACATGTTTAATAAAGCTATACAAGAGGGAATTTTCTATACTGGAGAGCTCTAAATGAAATGATCAAAATGTTGATTTTTTTTTCTCTATATATGCTCAGACTTATCAAGATACGAAAAGGGAAATTCTTATTCATCTTTTTCATCTGTAAGGATCTTGTTAAAGATTTCATGAACTAAAGAAAAGGTCATTTTATGTTCCCAGGAGTCTAACAAGAAAACTACATTTCATTCAGTGGGTAATGATGTTCCAGTATTTCCGGCATCAGAACGCTTGGCAGTGATGAATATAATACCAGATCTCTAAAAGCGTCTTAATCAATTAGATAAGTAGACGGATTTTCTAGTGCATCGCTAATTTGATTTTCTTGACAAAGTCTATGTTTAAATTTTCGAAAGTGCTAGGTATGTAACTTATAAAATACTTTATATAACTTGTAAAATCGTTTTCATCAATTGTTATTATAAAATACTTTTTGTAACATTAAAATACTATTTTAGCTAGTAAAGTACTATTACTAACATAAAAATACTATTAATAACTTGTAAAAGACTCATTACCCGGTATAACTTATATAATACTCGTTATAACATAAAATACTCGTTTTAAGTTTTAAAATACACGTGTAATTACTCGTAAAAGTATCTGGAGAATTTAATCGAGTTAGAAATTGTGAAGTATGTTATTTTGTTTAAGTAGATAAAAAATCAAATATTTACCAACAGACATCGATTGTTAAAAAAGGATATGGATTTAATTATTTTATGGCAGTAATACATTATACATGTATACATGTACATTTATAAAATATGTCTTAATTAATAAAAAAATGAGGAAAAATCTACAGAACAGGAAAATGTGTAATTACAGATTTAGTATAAAGAAGTATGAAGTTATTATCTAAAGTATGATAAGCATATTATAAAGAAAATAGTCATTCCTCCTTTAAAGATTCATAGATAGATGCATTATGTTTGTTTCAAGATTTGTTTTGTCTGCAACATTGATTTAACAAATATGTTTTACATTCAGTTTATATATTGCACAAATAAAATATACTGATGCCAAAAATACTGCCTCTTTTTTTTTATTCCAAATACTCACTGTTACTCTGACCATATTTAGGTTACATTTTTCAGAATATTAATTCTGATATTTTTTATCTACATTATTGTCTTGGTTCTAGAAAAAAACTGTCTCGATCTGGGTATTGAAAAGAGATAAATGCTGATCATATTTCATACATTTTAAGTAGCATAATAAGGAGTTATATCTTATCACGCAAACACGAAAACTTCCTTTATTTAACTTTTCTTTTTTCACGTTTGAATGCAATAATTTCGAGTAAAGTTAAGACGATCTAGTACAGTGTACACTCGATACATTTATGGTTTTATAGATACATGTATACACTAAACAACTTTTTTACGCTTCTAGACATTGAATATTTACTGCTACATGCTGTAGCAAAGAACTAGCCTCAGGCGGCATCCCAAAATTAAAAAAATTCTAGGATTAATATGTAAAGCTTTATAAATGACGTAACTTTGAGTTTTCAATTTGATCAAAATACCACATTGATTTAGAAAAGGGACATGGTGAAGTTCACCTTTTCTTCCCATTTTAACCTTTTTGGTTTAAAACAGCTTATATTGAAGCTTATTTATTTAGAAAAAAGGGAGCGCAGATTTGAATAGACTTTATAATTTCTTTAAAGATGTATCTAGTCAAAACTTATTATTGAATAAAAGTATTCTTGTACAAAGATTCACTACGATTCCTATAAGGTAAAGATTAAGAAAAAAGCACATTTTGCCTGATTTGAATGGAAAAATACTCGTTATCATTTCTGACGTCATTTACACCCAATGACTACAAATGAATGAGGCAATTAAATTGAGGATATATCTAATTAAAACTCTAAAAAAAAATTAACATAGAAAATTATTTAACGCAAAATAACAAAATTAGTTCAAGGAAGGGTAAAATTGATTCTAAACTTATTTAGTTGTTCAGAAAAATTAATGTGATTGAAAACGCAAATTCCAATAATTATATTGCCATAAAAATGTTAAATAAATATTTATTTAAGGAACACAACTTTTGTTATGCGATATAACAAAATCTTTATGAAAAAGTTATGTTATATCATAAAACATACCGGTAAGTTGAAATAAAATTCATTCCTTATAATTTAATTTCAGTTGTTCAGAAAAATTAATGTATTATTTTAAAAGAAAAAGCAATACGTTTTTGACGTAACTCATTGTGACGTAGGCAAGTTAAAATATTATATGTTGCTCTGAATGATTCAGCCAATGAGGTTGCTTGATACAAGTGAAATTAAATTATTATTAGGTGTCACATTTTCACAGAATATCGTTGATGGCAAAAGCATATTTTAAAACTTTTTTTTACGTACGAGGGCTTTTCGAAAAGTTCGTGGACGATGCCAATCTTTCGTTTTACATTACTTTCAAGAAATTTAAAATAAGCACAATATAATGTGTAAACATATTTGCTTTGTTGATGTGTGCATTTTATTCCATTCGATTCAACAGAAATCAATTTACTTCACTTTATAATCAACATGTTTTGTGACCTCGGAGCACACTTTATGGCAATGTAACGTCAAAAACATAGCGTCAAGAACTTCTCAAAATTCCTATCCCTTTACATGAAATATATGGAGATAACGAACAGTATTCAAGCTCAAAAGTATATCCGAACAATACGAAATAAGAGCAGAGCAAATACGGACTTCCAAAACATCAGAGTGGGATCAGCTGGTGCCAGGGAGGAGTGAGCATCCCCTGCCGACCGGTCACAGACGTCGTGTGCTCCTTGTCATGATCGGGAAAGAACGAAAAAATCCGACATCAATAAAGAGTGTAAATTCTAGACTAACAATTTGTATTTCACACAGTCCAATGCCAACTCACCAAAACCCTATTATATCACTTGTTAATAAACAATTTTTCTCGTTGTATAGTTTCCTTTGTCAATGTTTTAATTTCTTTTATCATTTAAATGTGCTTTCACAAGATCAGCAACTCTGAAGCGCCTATGTCGATCCATCACGTTCCAATTTTAAAAGTTCTTGTTCAGATTTTTCAGATAAATAATCGTCTTCGTTCGATACATAGTCTTTGTTACTCATGTACTTGTACCATTTACACACACATGCACGACTCGCTTGTGACATATTTTTTGATTCCTCCAATATATATAGAGTTTTTCAGGATTTTCCCCGACTAAAACACAAAATTGCATCGATCGTTATCTGCTGCTCCGTGACGTTTACAACGTCATCGTTTTTGTCGTTTTCATTGAGGACTACCTATCTTCTCAAGTTTATTTCTTTTCAACGAAGCAAAATATTTAGCCATAATTTGGATTATGAATCGATGTAACTATTCTTAATTTGACCGTCTAGGACTTTTTTTCTCGTTGTTGCTCCATTTTACAAAGAATATGACTGCAGATGTTATTTAGTATTAAGAAGATGAAATAATTTAATGTGTTCTATTTAATCATAAAATGAAATCAGCAAATAATTTTGTAATATAACAAAGATTGATACTTCCCGTGTGAAAACCTCGTCTGTTTATTACTAACGCTTTGAAAATTGATTTTTATGAACTTTATATGAAATGGCAAGTATAAGAATACATTATTTTGACGTCCTAAAAGACTGAAGATTTAATGTATTCTCTATCAGACATATTTCACGACTTTTGATACTGCGGTATTTAGAAATTTTGTGACATTTCATCATAAAACTTGAACATTTATTCAGCAAATGCTAAATAATCTTAATTAAGATAAGTAAAGAACGGAAATATTTTCATATTGAACAAGCAGAACATGGCAGGTGACTGAAGGTTTAAAAGATTTGTCTTACTCTTATTCTATTAACTTAATAAACAGGATTTTTTTCATTGATATATTTTGTTAATACATGTATTTATACTTTTGTTGTCTTTTCTTACTTTGACATGCATGTAAGAAATTCAATCATGAATATAAAGGCGATAGAATAAAATCTAATCGACAATTTAGATTTTTTTAATCAATACCAAAAAAACACTAATAACAGAAACCATATTTTGCCAGTGACATTGACCTCTTTTGAAATATGTCGTTTTTATGAAGTTAATAACTTTAGGTCATGGGCAAAAATATATCCAAGGTCAATTTTTTCGTTCTTTCTAATAATGGATACTTAGGTTTTGGACACAATTCTAAGTTTAGTTATTATTGAACTCGACCTTAGTGAAATAATCTTTAGAGAAGATTAAGAATACTGTAGTTCAATGCATTCCAATGATGAGTTAAAACTTGTAGCAGGTACGATTTGTGACGTTCAGCCAGAATCATATCACTTGGCAACTAAAACATTTCTTTTTTGGAAAGGGAAGGGTTAATAATTTTGTCAGATGAATATTTCCGCAGTGTAGTAGTGAATTTTGATACATGGAGCGACTACATGTATTTAGATCATTAATGTTTAGATGTTGTGGAATACTAATA